AAATGAAAAGAATGTTAAATGAAAGTGAATACAATTTTATCATATTTCCTTAATATTATTTCTTTTAAATGCATTCATTTCAATGATTACGCTTTTATCATATCGCTTACTAATTGATAAAAAATAATTGGAATAATAATAATAATAATAGATTAATCATTCATTTTTGTATATTTCTCATGCGTGTGTGTGCGTGTGCGTGGGCTTTTTAACAAAAAAAAAAAAGAACAGTTTGTTCATTTTTCAAAAGAATTTTTCAAATTTTGATTAAATGAATCAAAACACACGCACACACACAAAAAAATAATCTGCCATGCTTGTACACATAAAATATTATTAAATGACTAATAGCTTTAAAAGAAAATATCAAAATTCCTTGTTGTGTGCTACCATCATTTCTTTACTAACACGCATTGTCACATATGTTGTTGCATTTTAATGTTTTAATCAAAAATAAAACAAAATTTGAAATTTATCATAGCCAAAAAAAAGTTAGAAGGCGGAGTTTTTCAGTTTAATACTATATAATAAAGATATTTTAATAGTGAAATTTTATAAAATAACAATAAATGAAATGCAATGCATTCTTGCAATTCTTTTATTTATACTTTCAATTTTGAAAGGTATGAAATTCTTTCGTTTCTTTTTCTTTTTTTTTTCTTCTTAAATTATAATTGTTGCATTATAAGTTGTTGTTGTTGTTGTTTTTTTTTTGAAAATAAATCGATACGCAAAATAATTTTACGATGTTTAGAAAGGCGATAAAATTTTAATAGCTATGCTGGATTTTTGTGCATTTTTTTTTTTTTGAAGATTTCTGCCTTTAATAATATTTCCAATTATATTAGCATGATCGGAAAATGTTAATAATTTGGAAATTTCAGGGTATTCTGAAAAGTTAACTTCAATCAATGATGCATCTTCATTGGATCAATATATTACTGTTGAGTGTTTACAAAATGGTTTGAAAATTATATTGGAATTAAATGATTTACAACGACAAATAAAAATATATGTACGCCATAAATAAACGTATTGTATTTAAGCTTTTTTTAAAAATTATTGCTAACTTTAAAAAAAAATTTCATGGAGAAGCGGAAGAGCGAGGAGAAACGGGAATGAGGAGGGGAAGAGATGAATACTGACTTCAGTAATAACATTTTGAAATAATTAAATGGAAATTTAATTTTTCAAGGAACCAATAAAACTTATATTGATTGCTTCAAATGGTAGTGAAAGATGTGAAATGGAAATGCATGGAAATTCGCAATCAGAACCGATCAGTATGCTAATACCGAAAATTTGCTTATCAAATGATACAATGCAAGAAGTAATTATTTTCTAGAACACATAAACTCCAAAGTATTATTTAACAAATATTTCTCGATAATTTATTAAAAATTATAATGATATAGCAATTATTTATAAATAATTGCCACATAATCAGTAAAATATAATTTTTCGCAGATTTTTGCAAATTTAAATGATGATATAATTTTGCAGATTCTATTGATAACTGGCAATAAAATAATCCATAAATTTGAACTTTCATGTAATCAAATTTGGAGAGTACGTTTTCTGCCTAAATTTTTTTTCTTTTTTTATTTTAATTTTATTCTACGATTCATACATTTTCAGTCTTTACATAATAAGCTCGAAATTATCATTAATATCGTGATGTTGAACGATTGCTTTCACAATCTATCTTTGTCGCTTTTTTTATTTTTTATTTATTTATAATTTTTTGTAATTTTATAATCTCGATCTTCGTTTTAGAATATTATCTCAGATGCTAATCTTAATGGAGAATCAGTGAAGATAAATTCATCAGTGCAAATTGGTTTTGACTTTAATCTAGTGATTTCATCGAAACATAGTAAATTTTTTTTTTTTTAATTTCAAACAATTCATTCTCCAATAATTTACATAACGACAATATTTTTTGCATTTACAGAATTGTGAAAAAAAAAAGAATGATTCATTCTTTTACAAAAAGAAATCAATGAAAAAATTTGAATAGCAGTACAATACAATTTTTGACAATGCTAACACAACAACATGAGTAAAAGTGGGAAAAGAGAAATGTTGAAGTAAATTTCTTTTATTTTTAAGAAATTAAATTTTTTAAAAGAATTTGAATTTTTCATCAAATTTCCACTTCAATACTTTTAGTACCATTTCGTATCGTTGACTGTTGGACGGAACAGAACAATCATCGGACAAACTTTTTAAAAAACGGTATCCCTAAAAGAGATTCTCAATCGGTTCCACTCTGTCAATTATTTGATGGAACAGATAATTTTGATTACAATACTGATCCATTTGATAAATACAATAATGTTCAATCATCAACCATCGATCAAATGCGAAAAAAATGGCAAATTCAACTTCGTCTCGGTTGGGATGCTTTACCGGACAGTCGACAAAAAGCACTCCAACAATTACTTCGTACCAAACCACAATTACAATGGGAAGCTGTCCCTGATTTATCATTAGATAAGGAGGATTTCTTATCACCAATAACAATCTATCCTATTATGATTCATTGTTCCATTTCACCTTTATCGGTAAGTAAATCAAACTAATTAATCATCAAATTGTCGGTGTATATTGATTGATTGATCATAATCGTGATTGTGATCATCATTAATTGATCAGATGATAATAGAATTAAGGATATAATTTAATATTACTATCACCTGGTACTGCCAATATCGTTGTTATCAAAATGATAATATGTTTTGATATCATTTTATCAAATATTTATATTTTTTTTCAAAACTTTCTTTACCATTTTTTGCTTTCATTTCTCTAATTTTCAAAACCTTCACATTTCAAATTAAATATCGACTACATACAACTACATACGATTTGTAAACAACATTTTGCCATTTGCGATACTGAGTTATCTGCGAGATAAGAAGATTTACATCTGATAAGCAATAAGTCATAAATACCTCAAAAAAATTTATTATTGATAATATAGGCAACAGTTATCACTCTCAATAAAATAATTTCAAATCGATGTGATTGCCTTATCAGTTATTGTCATATAATCGTAAAAGATCACCATCATTTTTAAATTTAGGAAAATTTGCATAAAATTAGTTGAATGTTAAAAAAAAAAGAGTATTAAAAGTTGCTTTTATCGAATGAAAATATTTCAGTTTACGCGAACTTCGGTAATTACAAGTTTTGGTCCAATTGGAGTATTCATCCCGCAGTTTTATTTTCTTGAAGATGCGTTATTTGCATGTTGTCCGGTGGAAACAACAATAGCTTATGCAAATTTACTTCGACATCCACTCCAAAAAAAGCTCTTTTGTTCCAAGCAGGTAATTTTTTTTTCTCTTTGTTTTCCTAATTTTTTATTAATTTAGCAAATTTACATATTCAGAATGGAAAAAGTGATTTCACCGTTTTTTTTTATGCCTGATTTTTTTCTTTTTCTTTTTGTTTTTTTTTGAATGCAAAAAGTGAAAAAATTTTTTGCTTTATTTTAATTAAATTAGAAATTTCTGCACAGTAATTTTGAATCTTTCGTTATTTTTTCTGTTTTTTTTTTTCTAAATTTAGCAATGATATATTTCGAGAAAAATAAAATAGCAATAGCAACAGTAATTAAACATTGTAAATAAAAATTTCATAGTTTAAGGTTTCAACTGCTACTGCTTTATTGGTTTCATTGGCAGCATTTGCAATTGCTGTTTGCTGTACCGCAATAACTTTCAATGTCCGATATAAAAATTAAAGAAGTGAAAAATAGCTGTGATGTGTATTATAATTAATTATTTCTTTCTAATTGTTCATCAGAATATCATTCAAGTATTGTATGGAGCAAAAAAAAAAAAAGGAAAAAGGAAAAAAGGAATGATTATTTTTAGCCGATGTTTGTGTCGACAGAATTACTTTTAATTTTGCATATTTTGATTTGGATGCTAAAATTGAGCTTTACAAAATTTTTTTCGTTGAATGCTTCAAATTTTGCTTGAACTCATTATCAGTAGTTAAATATAGATGAACTGATTGAAATCAATGATTACATAATTTATTTATAATTAAAAATAAGAATTTTTGCATTTAGAAAAGATTAAAGAATTATTCGAAGCAAAATATCAACGAAATTATTTTTTTTTTTCACTTAAAACTCTGAAATCAATTGCTGATGGGAATGTTTGTGTTACAAAATATTTCATTTGGGGTCTACTCTAATTAACTTTTCCTGTACTGTTAGAGAAAATTTACTAAAATTTTTTATTACAGATTTTCATTTCATACTATAAAATTTTCAATATCATTTAAATGTATTCAAATAGAACGATTAATTCAATGATAACTTGCTTTATTTCGTTGCCTTTAAACATGTATGCAAAACAGAAAATAAAGAAAAAAATTGTAAGTTTTTTTAATGCGAACAATATAAATGTGATTACAATATGCAATATGCAAATTGATGAATTCGATTTCGTTGAAAATTACTGAAAAATTTATAGCAATCAACAAAGTTAATAAATGACCGAAGTGGCAGTGTTATTACAGAATTTTTCGTTTTTTTTTTTTCGAAGAAGCAGCAAAATAATTCTTTCTGTTTTCAATACATTTTTTAAACATTTAGCGAATCACTCTGAGAGATTTCCAGTAGTACTGCGATGATAAGATAAGATAAAATAAAATAGTTATGATAAAAAGCAAATGTATGAAGGCGATATATAAGAAGTATAATGTGGATGCATATTTTTGAAAAAGTTGATTGCTTGAGCATTTTGGTAAATTTCGATTGATATATAACCAAATGAAAAATGCTTAGAAGCATTTACGATGTACAATTGATGGGCCAGATTCATCGTATTCCTGCTTCGAGATCCACATCTGTAAAATTTGCAAAATAAAGTTTAATGAATGATATTATCACTGATAACTGT